GCGAGTCTCCTGCCTCTGCCTCCCAAGTAGCTGGGACCACAGGCGCCCGCCACAACGCCCGGCTATTTTTTGGTTGCAGCTGTCATTGTTGTTTTGGAGGGTCCGGGCTGGGGATTTGAACCCGCCACCTTAGGTGTACATGGCTGACGCCTTAGCCGGTTGAGCTATAGGCGCCGAGCCAGATTTTCTATTTTTAGTAGATGGGTTCTCACTCTTGCTCAGGCTGGTCTTGAACTCCTGAGCTCAAGCAATCCACTTGCCTTGACTTCCCATAGTGCTAGGATTACAGGCTTGAGCTACTATGCGTGGCCTGACACTAATTTTTAAATGAAAAAATAAGGATACATGGTAAATATTAGTGTTTATGGAGATTATAAGGTCAGAATATTTGAGCCCAGGATACCTGGGAAAATGTGGGATATAGGTTCACCCTAGTGCTAGGACTTTTGAAAGATTTTATAAAAATATGTCTCTCTTTAGCAGTCTACTGCTCTCTTTGCGAAATCAGAATTCTTTCCATTTTTTAGGTGGAAAGAGCAGTGGCTAAGAGCAAGGACTTTAGAACTAGACTCCCAGCCTCAGTACTTATGAACTTGCATAACTACCTAAGTAGCATCTTTGTTCTTCAGTGTCCTCCAGGGTAAGTGTGGACAGTAGTGCCTGCCTATTGTCTCACAGGGTGTCCTGAGGATTACAATAAGGACTCAATCAGTGACAGCTATTTGTAATGTATAATGGGAGGAAGATGGCTGTCAAAGTCAAATGTGAGGGGAGAAGCACTATTGGTGATGAATTCATCAAAGGGAGGCTTACTTTACACTATGGTGGTATTTGGCAATAGTACAGGAGGTGGCTGGGTTTGCTGAGGTCATGTGGCTCCTGAGGAAGGAAAAGGGGATTTAAAAAAAAGACAAATTTTTATTATGGAAAATTCCAGGCATATATTCAAGTAGAGAGACTAGTATATCCATCTTTAAGAATTAGCAACATTGGCTCGGCGCCTATAGCTCAACCGGCTAAGGCGCCAGCCACGTACACCTAAGGTGGCAGGTTCGAATCCCCAGCCCGGACCCGCCAAAACACAATGACGGCTGCAACCAAAAAATAGCCCGGCGTTGTGGCGGGCGCCTGTGGTCCCAGCTACTTGGGAGGCGAAGGCAGGAGACTCGCTTGAGCCCAGGAGTTGGAGGTTGCTGTGAGCTGTAATGCCACGGCACTCTGCCCAGGGGGACAGCTTGAGGCTCTGTCTCAAAAAAAAAAAAAAAAAAAGAATTAGCAACATTGGGTGGTGCCTGTGGGCTCAGTGCGTAGGGCGACAGCCCCATATACCTAGGGTGGTGGGTTCAAATCCACCCCCAGCCGAACTGCAACAACAACAACAAAAAAGAATTACCAACCTTTTGACAAATCTTACTTCACGTACCTCCCCCACTTCTTACCTCTAAAAGGAGGATTTTAAAGCAAATGCAAAATATATCATTTCACCCATAAATCATATTTATCTACAATAGGTGTTATTAAAAATATTAACTGAAAAATTAGCAATCATTCCTTAAAGTAACCTAATACTAAATGGCCTTATATCATGGTTTGGGGCAGGTCACGTTTCTGCTTGTTGCTGAGTGTCATTAATAACACCTTAGAACAGGGGTCCTCAAACTTTTTGAACAGGGGCCAGTTCACTGTCCCTCAGACTGTTGGAGGGACAGATTGCGGGTCGTGGGACGAGTTGGCTGCTAAGCAGGACAGGCAGCAGTGGCAAAAACACCCGGCGGGCTGGATAAATGTCCTAAGTGCTCCATATGTGGCCCGCAGGCCGTAGTTTGAGGATGCCTGCCCTAGAAGAAGGGGTGTTTAAAAAGTTCTGAGGAGATGTGTCTCCCGGGCCTTTCTCCTTCTGCTCAGTCTGCCGGTATCTCCTCTCACGTGTACACTCAAACTTCCTTTTTTCTTTTCTTGTCCTCCACCTAGTTTGTTTTTTTTTCTCTCAAATATATTCAGGAGGCATCTAGGTAAATCCCACTGGCTGGGGAAAGGTGTCTACTTGATTTGCTCTGCATTTGTACCAAATTTGTTTTTTTTTTCCCTGTGAAGACTTGTAGCTTTCTCTAGAGGTGGCAACAACATCTAGCAGTTTCTGGTTTGCATCTTATAACTTGAGAGGAGAGGGTAGGAATCTGTTCCAAAGCAGGATGATTCAGTGATAACAATTGGCAGAGCCCCAGCTAAGTAGAAAATTGTCAAGGAAATTCAAAGCATTTTATTTTCCTTCTGTTTCTTCTCACCTAACATCTATATAAGTGGAGTAGAATAAGAAATAAACTGGGAGTCAGGGTTCTGCCTCTGCTATGTGACCTTGGATGGATCTGTTGCCAACTTTAAGCCTGCCCTAAACACATATCCCCTCCCCAGGACAGTCTTCTTTCCCTGTTCCTGTGTATCCACATATCAATTGACAATTACGACTACATTGCAATTTTGTGATTAGACTTTCCTAAGAGTTCCTTGAAAAACTGAAAGACAGAGGACCCCTTGTTTACTTTTCTGTATCTCCAGTGCCTAGAACAATGTCTGGCACATACGCAGTTGTTGAAAGGATAAATATTTGTTAAATGGATAAGTGAATGAAAAACAAAAGAGCCCTACTTTTCACTTCTGTCAAAGCCAGACTAGGTCCTCCATGAGGTTTCTCAGGTTTCCTGGTTTCCTGAGGCTGTTTAGCCAACTTAGGACAGAGCAGGACACACTGAGCTGAGCAAGGCAGGGATGGGGCTGAGGGAAGCAGGGCTGAACCCCTTCCCCAACCCTGTTTTCTCTGCCCAGCTTTGGTCTCCTCCTCCTCTCTGTACCTAGCTCCTCCTCACACTCTTATCTTTCCTCTCTCTGTGTGCTGGTTCTTAGGGTTCCCTGGAATATCCAGAAGTTAATTCCATCATGGCAGAAGTCAAGTTGGAGACGCGGGCCAGTGTAGACTGGCAGAAACGCTGCCTGGCCCTGGAAACTCAGCTTTTCCGGTTCCGGCTCCAGGCCAGTAAGATAAGGGAGCTGCTGGCTGACAAGGTGAGTCCCAGAGCTGAGAGAGCTGCCCCTCCTCACAGCCGAGGTCTAAACTTCCCAAAGATGCTTTGCAACAGGCGCAAAGTGACGACCGAGTTTTGTTTTGTTTTGAGACCAAACTCTGAGCGATTGACGAAGCTGTCACCTTGCATTCTCTTCTGCTTTGCTTCCTCACGTGGCACACCAGGAAATGGTGCCATCAGCGTGGCCCTGCCCCACCTCTTGAGCCAGTGGAGAAGTTCTATCACTCCCTTAACATTTCTTCCTCAAGGTAGGAAGGATGATGTTTGCAGAGAAAAAAGTAGAAATCTCCGCCCTTCTGTTCACCCTTTATTAAGCATATGGTCTCCTGGTGACAAGGACACAAGCTTTGGAGCCAGACCTATCTGGTTCTGTCACTTACTAGCTCTGTCATCCTGGGAAATCTCTTCCATTGTAAGGCCAGGACATAAATGCCTACCTCTCAGACTTACTTTGAGAATGACACCAGATCACGTATGCAAAGGGCCTGGCACAGAGTAGGTCTTAAATGGGAACTATTATTTTCTTTACAGTCTTGGGTGTGCTGGTCTGGGAAACTGACCACCTTTCATAATGTTTCTATGGAAAGATACATTTGAATCAACTGACTTTCAAAAACATTTTTGAGCACCCATCTGAAGAGTGGTGAATTACCCATTCCCTATAGTTACGTTCATAGTATCTAATTGTTTAGCAGATCCTCCTTACACAGTTCAAACATAAAATTCAGCTCACCCATCTCCAAGAAATATCAAAGTTTTGATCAGTAAAGCCTGAATAAATGTCCTGTTTTTTGCAGTTTTTGGCCAGGGCTGGGTTTGAACCTGCCACCTCCAGCATATGGGGCTGGCACCCTACTCCTTTGAGCCATAGGCGCTGCCCCTAAATGTCCTGTTTTATTGATAGCTCTACAATCTGCAGTCCAGAAAAACAGGTCAGTGGTGTCATCATATTGTGGAGAGTGGTCTTAGACTAAACTGGACTAGAATTCTTGAACCTTGAGTCTGTTGGCATTGCTGTCTCCTGATTCAGACTTTGCAAAACAGAAATGTATGGGGTTCCTACAAGGTACTGCCAAAAGGTAAAGAAGAATTCAGCCACATGAGGAAAGGGTATAGGCCTTAGACAATCCTCAAAGAGTGATCAACACCATTTTTTATTTTTATTTTTTTGAGTTGAGACAGTCTCACTCTGTTGCCCTGGGTAGAGTAGTGTGAAGTTCATTGTAGTTCATGGTAACCTCAAACTCTTGGGCTTACGTGATCCTCCTGCCTCAGCCTCCCAAGTAGCTGGAACTACAGGCATGCACCACAATGTCCAACTAGTTTTTCTATTCTTAGTAGAGATGGGATTTCACTCTTGCTCAGGCTGGTCTCTAACTCCTGAACTCAAGCAATCTACCCACCTTGGCCTCCCAGTGTGCTAGGATTATAGGGCTAAGCCACCTGGCTGGGCCTGATCAAAACCATTTTGCTAGAATCCCCCTGGAGTGCTTGTTAAGTGTGTATACACCTGGGCCCCACCCCAGTCCTCTGGGTCTCAGTCTCCTGGGATATTGTTAATAATAGGTGTGTTTAACAAGATCCCAGGAAATGGTTTTCACTCTATAAAGTTTAAGGGCCTTGCCTAAGGCTATGGTATTGGCAGAGGGGTGTGAGAGAAGGTCAGCATAAGTAGGGATGGAGTCAGCCAAGTGGTCTGACTCAGAGGGAAGAGACTTCTGTTTCTAGTAATACAGACCACAAAACAACCTTTTACAAACCCTGCTACGGAACAGTATAAATATTTAGATTAGCTAAATGCAGAGCTGAACAAAGTAAGAGAAGAGATGAAGTGATACTCAACTCTAACAGCTGGGATGGGGGTGGCTGGCCTCCCTACAGTAACTTAAGGTTTGAGGTTTGAATTTTAACATAATGGAGACAGAGATGATGTCTAGCCAGTTAGAAGTTGGAGCTGAAACAGACTTCTCCATAAAATTAGGACTATTAAATAAAAAGGTAAACAAGAAAAAGAAAATCATCCGTCAGCACAGGGAGATGACAGAAGCTTCTCAGACTTAGTTTAGGCTCTGGTAGAAAAACACAAAAGTCCAGAAAGAGAAAGGTCTTCCCTGAGGACCAGAGGATAATAGTTGTTTAACATTAGGGTTTATACTTCTTGTGTGGTTCATGAAGAAGCCCAAGTTCTTGGCCACTGATACCCCTGGGGAACCTTATAGAAAGAGATACAAAACCTTTGAAGAGACAAGACCTCAGCCCACATCACACAGAATCTCCACAGGGAAAAGCCTAACAAGGAGGAATACACGAGGAATACACGTATGGAATCCAAAACAACTCAATACTTGAGGGAATAATCTGTAGTGAATGAGAATCTACACACACCCAAACAATTGGAGTAGACCTCCAGGAATTTCTGATAATAGAACTGTTTTTTTGAAGAGTATCAAAGAAATTGAAAAGATGAGGCCAGGTATAATGGCTCATTCCTGTAATCCAGCCCTTTGAGAAGCCAGAATGAGAGAGGATCAATTTGAGGCCAGGAATTTAAGACAACATGGCAAGACCCCCTCTCTATAAAAAAACTTAAAAATTAGCTGGGCATGGAGGTGCGTACCTGTAGTCCCAGCTTTTCAGTTGTCTGAGGTAGGAGGATCACTGAGCTTAGGAGTTTGAGGTTGTGAGCTTTGATTGTATCACTGTATTGTAGCCTAGGCAACAGAATGAGGCCCAGTTTCTTAAAAAAAAAAAAAAAAAGGAAAGAAAGAAATTAAAAACATGAGGCAACAAAACATTAACTATAAAGATTAGGTCATCTTGAAAACCAAATAAAACTTCTCAAGTGGACCAGGCATGGTGACTCACAACTGTAATCCTTGGAGCACTTTTGGAGGCTGAGGTGGGAGGATCCCTTGAGTTCAGGGGTTCAAGACCAGCCTGAGCAAGAGCAAGATCCTGTTTCTACTAAAAATAGAAAAATTAGCTGGCATAGTTCCAGCTACTCCAGCTGCTAAGGCAGGAGGATCACTTGAGCCCAAGAGTTTGGGGTTGCTGTGAGCTAGGCTGATGGCATGGCACTCTAGCCTGGACACTAGAGTCTCCAAAAAACAAAAACCTTGAGCAGCACCTGTGGCTCAAAGGAGTAAGGTGCCAGACCCATATGCCAGGGGTGGCGGGTTCAAACCCAGCCCCAGCCAAAAACTGCAAAAACAAATAAACAAAAAACCCAAAAACGTTCTGAAGTGAAAGTGTTTTCACTGAAATTAAATTTTCATTTGATGGATTAAACATCAGATTAGACACTACCAATGATAGACTTAATGAACAGCAAGATAAACCTACAGAAATCATCCAGAATGCAGCCCAGGAAAATAAAGACACAGAAGCTGAGACATGGATGCTAGGTCCACCTAATGATCCACGGATGCTAGGTCCACGTAACAATCCACGGATGCTAGGTCCACGTAACGATCCATCTCTATTCACCAAATAAGATTCCAGAAGTGGAGGGAAGAATGAAGGAGAGGCTTTACGTGAAGAGATATTGGCTGAAAAGTTTCCAAACTTGATAAAAGATGTGAAACTTCAGATTCAGAAGCAGAATGAATCTGAACAGGATAAATTTTTAAAAACCCTGTGCCTACTATATTAGAGGGGTAATAATTTGGCTGCTGGAGAAAATAATCCAAACTAACAATGGCTTAGGCCAAACTGACATCTCTTTCTTTCTCACGTAACATTCCAGGCATTCAGCTCTATGGTGATTTTCTCTCGCGTTTGAAGACGGTTCACTTGATATCCACATTCCAGCCCCTTCCCTGGAGTCTGTGACCCAGAACTTGCATATATTCTTTCTGCTCCTATCCTATTGGCCAAATCTTTTTTTTTGGCTGGGGCTGGGTTTGAACCCACCACCTCCAGCATATGGGGCTGGCGCCCTACTCCTTTTTTTTTTTTTTTTGAGACAGAGTCTCATCATGTCGCCCTGGGTATGGTGCTGTGG